ACCATTTGTTTGACTAATTCAAGTAGCGTAAATTTTGCTTTTACATTTAAGATCTAGCGCCTGTGTTTAACAAAAAGCCTTCGTTTTTTTTATAATAAAAATTTCGACTAATTTTCTCTTCGATCAATTTTCGTATCGCCTAATTTTCGCGTCGACCAATTATCGCATCGACCAATTTTCGTTCGACCATTTTTCTTTCGACCAATTTTCGCTTTTCCTCTTAATATATTAGCAAATTTAGCATGGTTTGAAATGATAGAATCGTTTTGGGGAATTTATAAACGATTTAATTCTCTTATTTGTTCAGTATTTTCAATGAATAATGATGGAAATCAAAGTAGAATCATTCTTACTGCAACAGATTTATCTTTAAATAAATATCAGTCAATATTTTGTTCAATAAATTCTAACTCAACTCTTTCTGCTTCTATAAAACGACTTCATATTGATGGAGCAAGATCAACTTTTTTCGATATCATATCTGAATGGATTTTTCAAGAAAATCTTATTCGTTTTGTTAATTTGAAATCACTTATTTTGACTCGATGTTATCTATCGGAAACTTTAATTAACAATTTATCTTTACTTGTTCAATATCAATTGGATGAACTAATTCTGACAATTGATAAAGATTCTTCTAAAATGTTTGAAAGTCAACAAGAATCTTGCGTAAATGATCTTAATCAAGGTAAATTGAAATTTCTTGTCAAACAGTTCATTTTATCAGAAAAATCTCAGAAATTAAATATTGAGAACAAATGAAACTTACAGATTTTCATTGAAAGAAAAATAACAAAGGTTTGTTTTTTATTTTCATGAACATAGCTCGAAAATTTACAGTCATATCCAAACAATTCATACGTCAACTTTTTTCTTCTAAATGTCAATTAACTGCGCTTCGACTTGATATTTCGAAAGATGATTCTGTTTTTGAAATACCTGAATGTCTTTCATCGTCTGATGATATTTATTCAAATCTAATTTCGGATCAACTTGTTACTAACTGAATAACTCTTCGCCATTTACACGTTCATCTTATGTATGGTTATTTTATTGAACATATTATCGAACATGTGCCAGTTCTTGAAACTCTCAATTAGATTCATGGATGTATTGGCTCACGAATGGTTACACGAGATGCAGATTAAACAGTTTACTCCAATTGTTGTCGATTGGAATGATAAGGTAAAATAAATGAAACAGACGCTAACCATTGTTTAATCAGAGAAAAATATATTTTTTGTATGCAGATCTTCTCAAACAAATTCTTATTCCTGTGCAAAATCATAAAATTTTTTCCGCTATCCTAGACTAATTTTTTCGGTTCGAAACATCCGACATTTCACTTTTTTTCTTGTAGAAAAAAATGACGTATTTGGCCACTATTAGGAAGAGGAAATATAGGTTATAGGTAACGTGCTAGAGGGAAATGCAGACTTTTGCACTTGAAATTGTGCCATACTGCTTGTTATTTCTTCGAGCTGTTTCAAGGTACTTTAAAGTCACTTTATACTACTTCACGTGTACATTGAACCATTCTAAGCATATTTCAAGCTACTCTGAAGTACTTCAAAGTAACTTGGAGTAGTTCTAAGTACTAACGTAATTCAAAGTATTTCGGTGTAGTTGAAATTACTTAATACTTTAAAATATGTCCATATACTTTGCGCTATTTCTATGTATTTTGAATCAGTGTTGTACTTTTCTACTTCAATTCCACTTTTTCACCCATCGGTAAAGTATGTCTTCCAATTGTTCAAGATACTCATGAGTTATATTCAAGTTATTGATCATATGTAGTCGGTATACGCTCAAGATTTTCACCATGACGATACGGGCTAAGATGTCGGGGTAGTTGTAAATAGTAGATTAAACTATAATAGAATTTGATTTTAAATTCTTTTGTTTTCGTTCTTAGGAAACTTTTTTCGAAAAATTCTTGAATTCATAGTCAACACAATCGTTAATTAAAATGGAAGAGCTAAGTTTTTCGTTTCAGCTAAAGAGAATCGTAGAAATCGGGCACAATTCCAGGTGAGTATGAACTGTCATCTATATGAATAACAATCTTATAACTTGTATATTGAGACGTTATGCAGAAAAGCTTGTTTGTTTCAAGGGTATATTCAAGAAAACTGACTTTGAGAAGAACGAAAAATAAATTTTTTGATACAGTAAGCTACCGAATATATCCACAACTATTCATCAAATTTTTATTAAATAGTGTATATGCGAATATGTCATAATGTTCTTCAATCAAAATTTCAATGGATAATAATAAAACTTGTGGTATAATGTTACAATACAAGTTCATAGTTCTCAGATAGAGAAGCATCATAAAAACTCATCTTATTTTGACAAAAAGAAATGATGCTAGTTTATAGTCAATTGCAGGAACTATTAGAATATGTATTAATATTACAATCGATTCTTCCTTGAAAAATTGACTTTTCTTAGAGCGAGATAAAAATTGATAAGAAAAACGTAAAAACGAATAGACATATTGTCTGGTCATCGATTAAAAGATATTTTAAATTCTCATTTCGTTTGAAGTTTTTGCAACAATTCTAAATCTATTGATAAAGTACTCCACAAAACTCTTCGGTCTCTAACAACTCTTTCAAACAACATAAGTAATCAAACATTTCCATGTATTATAAAAATATACTTCATGCACTAATTATCAATAGATAATAAAATCATTTTTGTTAGAAATACGATTTTTCAAACTTCGCACTAGATTTGTTGCTAGTTTCGTTAGAAAGTCTTCTCATATCATACGAAGTCTCAAGAATACTTCAAGTCACTCGGATTGTTAGAATAACCATTGGATGATGAGATAAAAAGACGATTTCAAATCGTTGATTCAGTGGAAGTGCCACATCAGGCTATTCG